AAAGTAGGCATCACACCTATGCATCATTTTGTTAATTAGACCCCGTCCTCTGTACTCTTTGGGCTCCAGATTTGTACATCCAACTGCTTATTTTACTTCTTCACTTGGGTGCCTAATTAACATACCAAACGAAATTTAATTTCATTCCTTAAATCTCAGTTTTCCTTATGTCTTCAAAGGATTCAAAATCTACCTAGATGTTTGAACCAAAAATCTGGGATCAATTCTTGATTTTATCCATTTCTCCCCTCCTTATCCCTGAACTAACATGTCCTGTTATCTTTCCTTCAAAATAGATCCTAAATTGGCATAGATTTTTCAAATTTGCTTTAATCTTTTCACAAATGCTCTGACAGAAGTTGAATAAAATTATCTCTCTATAGTTTACAGAGTCCCATAAGATCTGGCCCATGGATGACACAGTCGCACTCTCCTTGCTGTGTGGTTTCTTCATTGTCAGCCTATTCTGTCACGAGTGCAATCCCCCAGTTTTTCCATGGCTGGTTCCCACTCACTTGTCCTATCAGATCTTCATCTCACAAGTCACCATATCACTGATGTCTTTCCTGACCACTCAATCTAATTAACAATGTCCCACTCCCATCATTCATCATTCTCTATCACCACAACTTGTTTTATTTCTTCATAATACTTGTCTTTGTCTGTAATTATGTGTCTTCATGCTTTTACTGATTTATTATCTTTCCCCCAAACTAGAGTGTCAGTTCCATGAGAAAAGGGATCTTGTTTGTGTTGTGTGCTTCCCATATACTCAAACCTACAATATTACTTGAATGAATGAATGACATATATGACCCTATCTCTAGATATATCCTTAGGTATGGCTCACTGTTGACTGCCTTAGGCACACTTATTTAAATACAATATACTATATGCAGCAGGAATTCCCCCAGAAGATCACTGCTGTCTAGAGAGCCATTATATTCCTCATCTATCTATATTAAATGCAACATTAATTTTAATAAAATATAAAACTAGATCTAATCAGAAATTGTATGGTGTTGATCCAGTAGTGTAGAAAACTTAGAAGATTGAGAAGTTGGGAAGAGCTGCTCTCCTAATCTCAGGGGAAGAGAATAATTACCCCATTGCTTTGTGACTAAGAAAAGCCAGTATCTTGGCCTTTTTTAAAGGACAGTGATGCCAGCAGTTTGAGGCACATCCAATGTTTATGCCAAAGGAAGTTTTACAACTGGAGCTTTGAAAACAGGAAAGAAGTCAGAATTGGGTGGGGGCCGGATAAACACTTTCCACGAGGGAAAGCCAATTTTAGGGCATTTTTATGCAATTACATATAAACATGCAACTCAGACTGTAAGTCTGCTTGTAGATTAAATCTCTTTAGGAATATATTACTTACCCTGAGATTAACAACAAATCTGGATATATTTAGAAAATATGTTTTTTTGCTTTTTTTACTTAAGTATTTATTTTAAGTAATGTCTATGGAGCTTCAAGCCACAACTATTAGACATTCAATTTTAATTCTTTGAGGGTGTGGACTATGTCACTTGTTCACTCTCTGGCCCTACCTGAGTCTACTGCTGTTCTGGTTGCACAGCAAACATGACCCCTTCCCTGCAGAAGTTCATCGAAAGGAATGAATATTGGACAACAGAAAGTAATATCTTGAAGGGATAAAATGTCATAACAGAATGACTCTCCTTTTCCTAATCTTTAATGCCAAGAACTGCTTGTACCCTTTCTGCATGAGCTCAACAAAAGTAATTAAGTAAAATAGTGCATCTCTGCTCAGGAAAATGATTAAGCTTTCCTTTGGGCCAAGCTATATTTCCCTCAGTTTTTCTCAATTTGCATTAGAGATTATTTTACAAATACTGTCTTTTTTAAAAAAATCTTTAGCTAAGAATTAAATATTTAATTAAAAGCAATCAGGAATTCTTTCTCAATGCTGTTTTCTCAAATTGTCTAATTTCTCCAAACTTTGTCCATTATAAATCCAAAGAGTTGAAAGGATATTTCATTCCATAAAAAGAGTCAAAGGAAAACACCTTGAAAAAATAGTCATAGGAAATATGACAATTAATATCTTTATTATATGAAATGATAGTTCAAATGGACAAGATAAAACATTACATGCCAAAGAGTTAAATGAGTAAAAAACTCAGAAGAGATTTTAAATGGCAAATGCAGCTAGAACACTATCCCACCTTGCCAGTAATCTTAATAAATTTAAAATATGCTTATTGCCATTCAATAAAATTACAAGTAAAGTTAAATAATCTTTTCCCCATTCTTTAAAAAAAACCCAAGGCATTCCTTGTTAAAATAAAATATTATTAAGAAGCCAGGCAAGCTGAGTCTCATCCACCCTATGTGAAAGGGTGAGCCATGTTGACTGGCCTATTTTCCCTCTTCTTCCCTCAAGGACTTTGAGGAGGCTTGGAGGAGTGTCTAGTTCTCTAGCACAATAGGAAGACCTATTTTTAATGGCATCCAGTACTGACAAAAGCTGGTGCAATAGGCATATTTCCACATTGTTGACATTCTAAATCATGTCAACCACTTTGAAAAGCAATCTAGAAATATTCTATAAAAATCACCCAGATATCCATGTCCATTGACTGCCTTCTCTTCTGCGACCCTTATACTGGCTATATAGGATGAAGATGCTAATTGCAGCATTATTTAAGATGGTGAAATTTTAGGAAAAAAATAAATGCATGTATTCAACCATTCAGTATATACTTACTGAGTAAATGATCTTGCAAAAGCTAATGTTTCTATTAAAGGATGAGAAGAAATAGGAATGGCTGGGGGAACAGTTTAGAAAGGTCACAAAGAAGTTCATTAGATAGTGCCTACTATGTCCTTTTCTGTAGGTGGCTTTCATCTTACAGGAGGACATTAATTCCTTAAATGTATTTAGTCCAGATACATATCACCAAAAAAATACAAGGAAAATTAGAAGAGAAAGTTCTTTCATTGAGACTCTTCAGGTGAGATCACAGCCCTGGTATTGATAAAGTCTCCCAAGAGAAAAAAGGTAAAAATAGCCTGAAACATTTCTCTGGGACTCCCTATCTGAAGTATGGATCTAGGAAACCTATCGCTGTTTGAAGCGCTCCTGACCAAATGAAGAGGAGGAGGAGCGCTTCTGCCACAAAGTAGGTCAGTAGCTAGACAGGAGCCTCTCCCTGGTAAACTCCAAGCTTAAAATGAATACAAGCACTTTGTAAGTAAGATTATCCAGTCCTGCATTCTTTTCTATGTTTATTTTCCCTGTGTAACCCCATATCTTTAATAAAGTTTTATTTAAATGCCTCCAGTCTTGTCTCAGCTCTGTTGTGGGTGAAAGAAGGATTCCTTATTTTAGCCAACCAGAGAAGACATCCCAGCCTTCTTTTATGCCTTAAGCTGGTATGATTATGGCAAAGGTGATGAGATGCCTTAGCTAAGGAAAGGTGTTTCTCAGAGGCCAAAGGTAGGCCAGCAGTTTCTGCTGCTCTGGCCCACATAGTGAAACATTTTCTATCACCATTCTTCAAGGGGCTGGTGTTGATTTGGTTACAAATCACTTCTTTGTAGCCTCAAAAACACTTAGAAAATCAGTTAAAAAATACGCATTTCACAAGGAGATACCACTTTACACCAGCCAGAATGGTCATCATAAACAGATCAACAAACAACAGGTGCTGGCGAGGTTGTGGAGAAAAGGGAATCCTAATACACTGTTGGTGGGAATGCAGACTGGTGTAGCCACTGTGGAAAACAGTTAGGAATTTCCTCAGAAAGCTAAAAATGGAACTGCCTTTTGACCCATGGATTCCACTGCTGGGATTATACCTTAAGAACCCCAAACACCAATTCAAAAGAACCTATGCACCCCAATGTTCATAGCAGCACAATTTACAACAGCTAAGTGTTGGAAGCAACCTAAATGCCCATCAGTAAATGAGTGGATCAGAAAACTATGGTACATTTATACCATGGAATACTATGCAGCAGAAAGAAAGAAAGAGCTACTACGCTTCTCGACAGCATGGATGGAACTGGAGAGCATTATGCTAAATGAAATAAGCTGGGGGGGAAAGACAAATACCATACGATCTCACCTATAAGCGGAACCTAACCAACAAAACAAACGAGCAAGGAAAATATAACCACCAACATTGAAAGAAAAAAAAAACCCTCAACAGAGTCAAGAGGGAAGAGGGGGATGGGGAAAGGAAAGGGAAGGGTCAAGGAACATGTATAAAGGACCCATCGACAAAGCTAAAGTGGGGAAGGATTGAGGGAGGGAGGGGGGCAGGGGAAAGTGGTGGCAGGAAGGTGGAGACAAATGTTATTTGAACAATACAAAAAAAAATAGGCATCTAGAAATACGAATGAGACCAGGAAAAGAAAAATGACTTCTGAGGGCAAAAAAGCAAACAGATTAATAAAGATATACTTCAGGCTGTTGCAGCTTTCTTTGTTTACTTTTGAAAGGAGCTAATTTATAAAACTATGTGGAAATGATTGCTTTAAGTGGAGAGACAAGGGTAAAGCAAAGCAAAACCAAACAAAAAGATATTCTAATATAATCACTTATTCAAAAGAATAAATAGAAAAACATGTATAATCAGTGTTGGTTTTTTTAAAACAGCATTTAAAAGATTACTTAATTCAACCTTGGAATAATTGCTTTCTGTAAACATAGCATGCATCTAACTTCATAATCGGATGCATGCCATATATGCAGAAATTTTAATCAGTCTAAACATAAAGTGAACTGGATTGCAAGTCTGTCTTTCCTGTCACGGTATAAAGCACATTATTAGTACATTCCTGGATAGCTCTCCTTTTATTTTCTCTGGCTTGTTTTATATTCATTTTTATCTTGGGGTAAGTAACTTTGTCTAAATCAGCTAAATTACATTCTGGAAGATGGAGTATAAACCAACAAAAATTACTTGTTCTCTCAATACTCTTTCTTTCTGGAATTACTTTTTCTCTGTGAGAATGATTCTTCTTACCTTAGGTTGTTTGGAAAGGTAGCGACAGATTTCTCCAATATATTGAAACACAGTCACATTATACTTTTTGCAGTCATCCAAAAATTGGCTTGCTGAGAATTTCTTCTTTAACACAAAAGTAGCTCCTATGAGAAAAGGCAAAAAGAGACACTAGGTAAAAAAATTCAAGGGCAGAATTAAGATAAAACACATATGATGTTGCTCTGTCACTTTATCACTTTCTAGGCTTTCATACTCCATCAGTGGCCATTTATGTCAAGCTCATTTGAAAACAGTAATGTTACAGTTCATATCTTGAGGTTGAGAGTATGGCAGTTAGTTCACTGATGACTGCAGAACCTAACTTTAGCAACAATATAAGTCATATGAACATGTTTGAAAGAAAAAACCCCGAATGACCTTTATCTTTACTTATTGTGGAAATTAATCACATTGTAAGTATGCTACTCCATCAAATTACTTTATAGTATTTTAGACATATGAGGGGCGACCCCCCCAAATAAAACAGAATTATCTTCTGGAGGGGGGCCCCTTTTACTACAGACTGTCCCCACTAGATGAGTGTTTTAGGAACCTATCTGTATCACAGTACCCGCTGGCGTTGTTTTGAGAGTCTGCGTTTGGCTTCAATGAATCTTTTTTTTTTTTTTTTTTGAAGACTCAGTGCATTTTCCCATTTCATGATGGATGATTTAGGAGGGCACCTGTCCACACTGTGCTGAGTATTCAGCAGTTTTTGATCAAAAACGGCCTGACCCCTGTGCTCCACCCTCCCTAAATAAAAAAAGTCCTCAAAAGGAAATGTTTTGCTGATGTGGAAGAGGTGAAACAAAAAACAGAAGAAGCACTAAAAGACATTAAAATTGACGAGTTCAAAAACACATCAAATTTTGAATAGTGGAAAAAATAGCTCAATAAGTGTATTGCATCAAATAGAGAATACTTTGAAGATGACTGAAGTTTAAACATGTAAGAATAAACACACGTTTTTATAAATAAATTCAGTTTTTTTGGGTTTCTTCCTTGTATAAAACGTAGTAAATGATATTTATTTATATATTATTTCAGGACCAGCTAGTAATGGACCCATAATCTCAGGATGTTTATGAGTGGAATTTACTGTGTTACAAGCAACTACCAACTGACTTACTGGGTATTTGGGGTATATTGTTTGTGAAGACAGCCTCGGCAATTCTTATTATGCATTTACCTTTGCAATGTGAATTTGCCACTCCTCCCTTCAAGAGATGAGGTTTATTTCCCAACCCATCGAATATCGAAACTGGATTGGCATGCGACTTGCTTTCATCAACAAAGTACAGATGAAATGATTTATGTAACTTCCACAGACCAGCCTTAAGAGCTATGTAGTTTCCACATTCACTCTCTTGGAAGGTTCCTAACACCATTTAAGGAGGTAGGGGTAGACTATCAAAGGGGGAGTGATCACATGGAGAAGAAAGCCCAGTTAACAGCCGGCATCACCCACATGGCCAGATTACTGGGATATTACTCTTTCAACTTCAGGAATACACTGAGTGCATGCACATGGCTCCACTGTTGAGCAACTATAGGAAAATTCTAAAAAAACCAAAATAAAACCAGTATAAGATAAAACCAAATTTTCAAGCCAGAGAATTCAGGCAGCATTGTCCTTTCAGCCATTGCCCTAACTGCTAAAAAAAGCTCTGGCTCAGATTACTGGGCCCAGCAGAGCACACTCTGTGGCTCACTGATAGCCCCAAGCAGGTTGCACAGGGCCAGTAACAGAGTCTAACAATGGTCTGCACCAGAATCTTTGCACATCAACCTGATACACAGAAACAAATACAAAGAAATAGCCAAAATGGGAAGACAATGAAAGAGACCCCACATGAAAAAACAAGACAATTCTTCCAGAAGAAGAATTAGATGAAATGGAGGCAAGCAATTTATCAAAGAGTTTAGAGTAATGATTATACTCAACAGCACAAAAAAAGACACAGAAACCATAAAAAAGGACCGGTCAGAAATAAAGAATGCAGTATCAGAAATAAATAATACACTGGAAGGAAAAAACAGTAGGTTAGATGAAACAGAGGATCGAATCAGTGTTTTGGAAGACAAGGTAGGAAAAAATACCTAGGCAGAGCAGCAAAAAGAAAAAAGAATTAAAGACTTCCAGTCAAGATGGAGGAGTAGGTAAACACACTTAGCCTCTGAGCACAACTACTGCAAAAATTACAACTAGACTACAAAACAAATATCACCCAGATTTGTCAGAAAATTAAGCTGTATGGAAGTCTGACAACCAAGTATTTAAAGAAGTCCATCCAGATGGGTAGGAGAGGAGGTGATGCAGAGAGGCACAGAAATGTGGAGTGTTAGAGAGAGACAGTGGAATGGGTGGTCCCACATTCATGTATGGTGGATAAAAAATGGGAGGGATGCCGTGGCAGCAAGTGATCACAGCCCAAGAATAGACTGCACACCCGAGGGTTCCAGTGCCAGAAAGATAAGTCCCCAGAACTTCTCACTGTAAAAACCAGTGGGGTTTGGGGTGCTGGAAGAAGCTGCAGGTTTCTCAGGGCAGTCCTCTTCAAGGACCCACATGAACTTACACAGACCTGCCCGCTCTGGGATTCAGCACTAAGGCAATAGCTGAAAGGGCACAAGTGACAGAAGAGGAGAAGGGGAGAAAGTGAAGTGGCAGATAACAGGGCGAGTGCCAGGAGACAGCTTCTTTTCAGGCAATCTCCGGAGGTCAGGCATCACCATTGTCCCCTGCCCCCCCGCAGAGCCACAAAGCAGTGAAGTGGGTTGCTCCACCCTGGTGATCACCTAAGGCTCCGCCCCACACAATTTACGGGTGCCTGTTCTACAATAGGCAACAGTACTAACACAGGGCATCTACCTAATACATAGAAACAAACACAGGGAGGCTGCCAAACAAGGAGACAAAGACACATGGCCCAAAGGAAGAACACAACAAAACTTCAGGAAAAGAACTAAATGAAACGGAGATGTACAATCTATCAGATGCAGAGTTCAAAACACTGGTTATCAGGATACTTGGAGAAATCACTGCATACTGCAACAGCAAAGAAAGACTCAGGAAGAAGTGAAGGTTGCATTAAGTGAAATTAAGACAAGTCTACAGGGAACCAGCGGTGGAGGGGATGAAGTTGAGAATCAAATCAACGATATGGAACATAAGGAAGAAAAAAGCATTTGATCAGAACGGTAAGAAAAAAAAGATTTAAAAAATGAGGACAGAATAAGGAGACCCTGGGACATCTTCAAACGTACCAACATCCAAATCATAGGAAGGCCAGAGGAAGAAGAGAAAAAGCAAGAAATTGAAAACTTATTTTAAAAAAATAATGAAAGAAAACTTCCCTAAATTGGTGAAGAAAATAGATACACAACTCCAGGAAGCACAGAGTCCCAAATAAATTGGACCCAAAGAGGACCACACCAAGACACATAATAATTAAAATGAGGGTTAAAGATGAAGAGAGAATCTTAAAAGCAGCAAGAGAAAAGCAGACAATTACATACAAAGGAGTTCCCATAAGATTGTCCCCTGATTTCTCAAAAGATACTTCGCAGGTTAGAGGGGACTGGCAAGAAGTAGTCAAAGTGATGAAAAGCAAGGACTTGCAACCTATATTACTCTCTCCAGCAAAGCTATCATTTACAATTGAAGGGCAGACAAAGTGCTTCCCAGACAAGGTTAAACTAAACATGTTCATCATCACCAAGCCACTATTGTATGAAATGTTAAAGGGGACTATATAAGAAAATGAAGATCAAAACTATGAACTATAAAATGGCAACAAATTAACAACTATAAACAACTGAATCTAAAAATAAACTAAGTAAACAAAACAGGAACAGAATCATAGATAAGGAGATCATTTGGAAGGTTATCAGCTGGGAGGAGGAAGGGGAAGAATCGGGGGGAAAGATGCAGGAATTAAGAAGTACAAATTGGTAGGTACAAAATAGACAGGGGATGCTAAGAACAGTATAGGAAATGGAGTAGCCAAAGAAATTATATGCATGACCCATGGACATGAACTAAGGGAGGGGATAATGCAGGGAATAGAAGTACTGGGCAAAGGGGTCAAAGGGGGAAAATTTGGGACAACTGGAATAGCATAACCCATAAAATATATTTTTAAAAAGATAAGAATTTTACTTCTTGGGAGAAAATTCGAGAAAAAAGAAATGAAAATATAATTTTAAACATAAGGAAGACATGTGGAGACATGTGGAGAGCATAAGAAACATTTCAGACAATATGAAGTGAAGTGTAACCACACCCACATCATGAGAATACTGGAAAGAGAAAAGAGCAAGGGATTGAGAATCTATTTGAAATACTGGCTGAAAACATCCTTAATCTCGTGAAGGAAAGAACACTAGTCAAGGAAGCTTAGAGACTCCCAAACAAGTTGGACCCGAAGAGGCCTACACAGAGATACATCATAATTAAAATGACAAGGCTTAGAGACAAGGAGAGAATCCTTAAAGCTGCCAGAGAGAAGTAGGTTGTTACATACAAGGAAGCAATAATTAGACATCATCTGATTTCTGAACAGAAACATTTCAGGCTAGAAAGGAGTGGCATGAAATATTCAAGGTGATGAAAAGCAAGGACCTACAAACACACTTCTTAATGCAGCAGGGCTATCATTTAAAATAGAAGGAGAAACAGGAGCTTCCCAGATAAGCAAAAGCTAAAGGAGTCTGTTAACACAAAGCCAGCACAAACAAATGTTAAAGGGCTTGCTTGAAGAAGAAGGAGGAGGAGAAGGTGGCGGGGGCGGGGGGGGGGGGGGGGCGGGGCGCGGGGAGGGGGGAGGAGGAGGAGGAGGAGGAGGAAAAGAAGGAGAAAGAAAAAAAATACAGAGGAAAATAGCCTAACAATAAATAGCACTAAATATGTATCTATCAGTAATCACCTTAAATGTAAATGGCTTAAATGCTCCAACTGAAAGAAAACAGGTTGTTGAATGGATAACAAAATAATAACCATATATATGCTGCCTCCAAGACCCTGCCTCAGATGTAAAGATACACACAGACTAAAAGTAAAGGGATGTGAAAAGATATTTTATGAAAATGGAAAGGAAAAAGTGGCTGGGGCAGCAATACTTATATCCAACAAAATAGACTTTAAAACCAAAATTTACGAGAAAAGAAGGATACTATATAATGATAAAGGGAACAATCCAACAAGAGGATATAACCCTAGTAAACATTTACGCACCCAACATAGGAACATCTAAATATGTAAAGCAAATTTTGATGGACATAAAGGGATAGACTGATAGAAATACAATCGTAGTTGGGGATTTTAACACCCATTGACTTCAATGGATAGATTTTCCAGAAGACTATCAACATGGAGATAGCAGCCTTAAACGACACACTAGATTAAATGGATTTAATTGTTATTTTTAGAGCATTTCACCCCAAAGCAGCAGACCATACATAATTTTCAAGTGTACATGGAACGTTTTCTAGGATAGACCATATGTTAGGACACAAAAGAAGTTTTAATACATTTTAGAAGACTGAAATCATATCAAGCATCTTCTCTGACCACAATGCTATGAAACTAGAAATCGATCACAACACTGAAAACACACAAAGATATGGAAGCTAAATAACGTATTTTAAAACAATGAGTGGGTCAACAACAAGATCAAGGAAGAAAACAAAAGATACCTTGAAACCAATGAAAATGAGGACACAACAATCCAAAATCTGTGGGACACAGGGAAATCAATCCTAAGAGGGAAATTCATAGCATTACAGGCCTATCTCAAAAAAAAAAAAAAAGAAAGAAAAGAAAAGAAAAGAAAAAGCTCAAATAAACAATCTAACGTCATACTTAAAGGAACTTGAAAAAGAACAAAAAAAAGCCCAAAGTGAGTAGAAGGAAGGAAGTAATAAAGATCAGAACTAATATAAATGAGATAGAGTCTAAAAAAACAATACAAAAGACTCATGAATCCAAGAGGTGGTTCTTTAAAAATATAAATAAGATGGACAAATCTTTAACCAGACTCATCATGAACAAAAGAGAGAGGGCCAAAATAAATAAAATCAGAAATGAAAGCAGGGAAATAACAACTGACACTAAAGAAATACAAAGGATTGTATGAAAATATTATGAAGAACTATAAGCCCCAAAAACTGTACAACCTGGATGAAATAGATAAATTCCCAGAAACATACAGTCTTCAAAAATAAATCAGGAAGAATCAGAGAATCTGAATAGAAAGATTATACCTAGTGAGATTGAAGCACTAATCAAAAAACTCCCAACAAACAAAAGCTTAGGACCAGATGGCTTCACAGGTGAATTTTACCAATATTCTGAGAAGAACAAACACTTCTTCTTCTCAAACTATTTTAAAAAATTCAAGAGGTAAGGCTTCCAAGTTCATTTTATGAGGCCAGCGTTATCCTAATTCCAATATCAGATAAAGACACTACAAACAAAGGTAATTATAGGCCAATATCCCTGATGAACACAGATACTAAATTGGCAACAAAATATTAGCAAACCAAATACAGCAATGCATCAAAAAGATCATACACCATGAACAACTGGGGCTTATACTGGGGAATTCAAGGATGGTACAACATTCACAAATCAATAAGTGTGATTCACCACATATACAAAATTAAGAATAAAAACTACATGATCATATCCATCGATGCAGAAAAAGCATTTGATATAATCCAGCACCCATTTATAATAAATACTCTCAGCAAAGTGGGAATAGAGGGAACATGCCTAAACATAATACAGGCTATATATAACTAACCCAGTGCCAGCATCATACTTAATGGGCAAAAACTACAAGCATTCCCCTTAAAATTGGGAACAAGCAGGGATGTCTGCCTTGACCCCTCTTATTCAACAAAGTACTGGCAGTCTTAGCCACAGACAAGAGGAAGAAATTAAAGGCATCCAAATTGGAAAGGAGAAAGTAAAACCATCACTATTTGCAGATGATATGACACTGGTCATAAAGAATATGCAAGATTCCACCAAGAAACTACTAAAACTGATAAATGAATTCATCAAAGTAGCAGGATACAAAATTAAGATCTAGGAATCAGTTGCATTTTTATATGTCAATAATGAACTAACAGAAAGGGAAATTAAGAAAACAATCCCATTTACAATTGCTTCAAAAAGAATTCAATACGTAGAAATAAGCCTAACCAAGGATGTAAATGACCTGTACTCAAAAAACTGAAGAAAGAAACAGAAGAAGGTACTAATAAGTGGAATCACATACCATATTCATGGATAGGAAGAATTAACATCATTAAAATACCCATACTACCCAAAGCGATCTATAGACAACACAAGTTTTATCAAGATTCCAATGATGTATAACTTACCAGAACCAGAACAAATATTTCAAAAATTTACATGGAACCACAGAACTAAAACAAATATTTCAAAAATTTACATGGAACCACAGAAGGCCCCACTTAGCAACGGTGATCCTGAGAAAGAAGAACAAAGTTGGGGGAATCATGCTACTTTATATCAAACTATACTATAAGGCCATAATAATCAAAACAGCATGGTACTGGCATAAAAACAGACACACAGATCAATGGATCAGAATAGAGAGCCCAGATACAAGCCCGCACCTTTATTGTCGATTAATATCCAACAGAGGAAGCAGGTGCATACAATGGGCTACAGAGAGTTTATTCAATAAATAAATAAATGGTGTTGGGAATATTGGACAGATACATGCAGAAAAATGAAACTAGCCCACCTTCTTATACCACACACAAGAATAAATTAAAAATGGATTAAAGATTTAAATGTTAGACCTGAAACCATAAAAATCCTAGAAGAAAATATTGGCAGCAAAATCTTCAGACATTGTTTGTAGCAATATTTTATGATGTATCTCCCCAGACAAGGGAAACAAAATAAAAATTAAATGGGACTACATTAAACTAAAAAGGTTTTGCACAGCAAAGGAAAACATCAACAAAATAAAAAAAAAACAACACACAGAATGGGAGAACATATTTGCCAATACATTTGATAAGGGATTAATATTCAAAATTTATTTTTGAAAGAACTTAACGAAACTCAATACCAAAAAAACCCAAAAAACCCCAAACCCCAAACAACCCAATTAAAAAATGGGCAAAGGACCTGTATAGACAGATCTTCAAAGAGGACTTACAGATGACCAAAAGACATATAAAAAGATGCTCAACATTACTAATCATCTCACACTTGTCAGAATGGCAATCATCAATAAATCAGCCAACAATTTCTGGTGAGGAGGTGGAAAAAAGCAACCCTTTTGCATTGTTGGTGGGAATGCAGATTGGTGCAGCCACTGTGGAAAGCAGTATGTAGATACTTCAAGAAATTAAAAATGGATCTTCCTTTTGATGCAGGATTCCCACTTCTGAGAATATATCTGAAGGAATCTAAAACACTAATTCGAAAGAACATAAGCACCTCTATGTTCAATTTAGCATTATTTACAATTGCCAAGATAAAAGAAGCAGCCCAAATGTCCATCAGTACTTAAGCGGATAAAGCAATTATGGAACATTTACACAATGGAATAGTATCTGGCCGTAAAAAAAAAGAAAGCTTTTCCCTTTGCAACAGTATGGATGGACCTGGAGAACGTTATGCTAAGTGAAATAAGCCAGTCAGAGAAAGACAAATGCCATATGATTTCATTCATATATGGAATCTAATGAACAAACTGAACTAGCAAGAAAAATAGAGACTGACTCATAGATAGAGAACAGGATGATGGCTAAGGTGGGGGGGAGGTGAGAAGGTGGAAGGATTGAGAAAAGGAAAAAGGGCTCATGAACATGGACAACAGTGTGGTGACTGCAGGGGGAAGGGAGGTTTAGGGGGACTAAATGGTAATGGAAAAATACAATAAAAAATAAAATAAAATAAACTTACCAAAATTGGAAAAAAAAGGAATATACTGAATATGTCACAAAATTGTATACTTTTAATAAGTTGTACAATTTATTAGGTATAATTATATAATATAGATACAATCCTTCTGAATCCCACTGGTAGGGTTTAAAACTTTAAAAATACAAGTTCTAATTATTAGGCAGTTTGAAAACTTATCTTACAGAAAATAAAAACTTACCTAACTCAATACATCCACAAATTCCCAGGAGAGATGCTGAACTATGATACAGAGGAAGGGTTATATAAATGATATCATCAGTAGTACAACCTAAAACCCACAGTCCAGTGGAACTCCTTATACTCTGCACCTGAGAAATCACAGCTGCTTTTGGAAGACCTGGAAGGAAAAAAAATATACATGTAATATGTAATAGAAATCAAGTCTAACGTTTCCTAGACATTCTTTTTTTTTTTTTAGGTGCCAAGAGGTCTTTATTGAAATAATAGCACAGTTATACTTCTAATAGCCTTTCCACTTGTATACAATAGCTTAAAAATGTTTGTTACATACAGTGGACAGACAGTTCAATAATTAGAACCAATTTAAATGCATTTGAAATAAATAAAATAGGCTTATTTAATAATCGAAAGAAAAATTACTGTACAATGTGAAAATAAAGATACATAAGTGTTAGGATTTCTAGACAACCAGGGCCAATGTGCAACAACAGAACTAGAAATTGGCAGATTGAATACACACAGAGACCCTCAAAACAAAAAGAATGGAATTAGAGATGATAGAAATAAAATTTAGAAAAGCAAATGGATGACTGACACCATGCATTCAAGAAACTGAAAACTAAAGTGAAACCTTGAAGAAAGCTGATTTCCCCCACAGAACCCCACAAAGGCTCAGAAAGTTCCAGGTTGGAGGGAGTTTTATATGAAAGAAAATAAATATACTTTTGTTACACTATAGAGCTCAGCTAGAAATAGTGTTTACTAAGTTATAATATTGATACCAATTAAGTCAAAATTTATGATGAAACAATATTAGTGTGATGCTGGGGAGAGAAAGTGCCTGAGCAAGAGGAAGAAATAAGTGGAGGAAGAAAGTAGTGAGAAGACAAAATCCTCATATTCCTACGTGGAAAATCAGTACTTTTTAGTATGTATGTATTAGGTGTCTAGTTAGATTCTGATTCTGTTTAGACATATGGAGGTGACTGTAAAAAGAAAAATCCAAAAGTACTAAATGTAGTTGGTTTGGCGTGGGAGACATAAGGGGATAAACAGGGTGCTTTTCTTTAAAACTTCCAAATTAGAATTTTTTACCTCTGTGCTGTATAACTTCCATGCAAATAAATGTTAAATGAAAAAAAAATAGTAATGCTTTTGCTTTCAGCCTGTTGTGCACATGTAGAAATCCCTTTGATTTTACTCTTGAAGAACAAGAGCTGGTAATGGAGTGCTCCAGTCTGGTCTCTTTGGGTTGGGGAGGAGGCTGCAAGAGGAGGAGGAAGTGGTGAAGATTATTTTGAAGACCGGAGTCACTTTCTATTTTTCATAACAGTCATAAAGATAAACAGGGTAGGTAGCTTTGGTTGGAAGTTTTCAAAGCATATCATTTCTATAATTTCATTGTCTCTTTCAAAGTCTAAAAGACTGAATTTATGCTGACTTGATACATGTTACAATAGAATTTTCCAGTTTGTTTATGAAAGCTGTTGTAAGCATAGTCAAAAATATAGTCTGCTCACTAGTCTAAAAGAGATTGTTGTTAAGCTCCAAACAGAAAAGAGAAGAAAGGAAAAGAAAAGGGAGGAAGGAAGGAAGGGAGACTTGGAAGGAGGGAGGGAAGGAAAAGAAAAGTAAGAAAACTTTATGTGTAGAATAGTAGTTTTGCTTACAATACTACCTGTGCACAAGAAATTAGTGACAAATTATTTTTAATATGTCTAATTCATGCCTCTAGTCATCTCCAAACTTTAGCCTACAAAATACCATTTGGTTTTTCTTAAGAATCAATTAAGTTGAACATTTCTTTTGAATTCTTAGGCAGTTTCATTGTTTTCGTGTGTACATGCGTGTTATTATTGTTTACCTAAAAAAGGGAAGGTTTTGTTCTTTAATTCTATTTTGTATTTTCTCCCAAGTCTGCAATGCCTTCAAGACTTCCTGTTTGTCACTTGTTCCACTCACCCTTACGAAAACGAGGAGGGCCAGCTATAGGAGCTTAAAATGCAGCTACAGTTGGATTCTGTTTAGGATTTAACATTTTCCACATGAATATAAAAAACTGTTTTAAAGTAGATGAATGGATTTTTTAATCCAACAGGATAATTAGATACTATTTTAAACTAATCACTTCATTTTATACATCAGGAATTTAAGGAACAGAAAAGGTAGCAAAGATCTTGCCAAGTAAGTTGGTCGATCTTCAATGGTCCTTCACGCCTGGCACTATCAAACTTGAAGACAATAGCCAAGAAAGTGGACATGGTGGCTTGCCAAATTAAAGTTAGACCAAGTTAAATTTAATGTCACTACTCTTGGCAGAAATTTGTCCAACATTTTTGCTTTCTTTTTATGCGTTAAGAGAAAATCAATCATACCTGTTGTTCCAGAGGTAAAAATATAAAGATAAGGAGACTTGAGTTTTAAGGCAACATGGTGGCTGTGTGGCACTGGTTTGTCAGATGCTGTTGTCAGTTTTTCTGTGAGTGAAATTACGCCTTATCGAACAGAATCTTTTACCATCCAAACACTGATATCTTCTGGGAGGCTGGGAACGATTTCTTCTATGGTTTCACCAAATCTAAAAACCAAAGGATTAGGAATAGGTAAACAAAATATAAATCTCAAACCATTCACCTTGTGTTTTCTCTGGTGTGTTGGGACAGAGATATAAGTTAAATACAGTGATTTCATTTTCCTGTTGGGTAAGTCATATCAAAGCCATGTTATGATTCTGTTTCAATAGGGCCAACTGAAAGGGAAATCTAACCACCACCTAATTTAATCAATGCAAGTAGAATTTGCATTGAATTTTGGAGAAACCATTATCCAGACTATTTTTTTCCAATTTTTAACTAAAACTAATTTTTATAATATGCTTTAACTCTAAGTTCAGGATACTGCACTAAATATTGTCCTTGAAATACTGCACCACTCAGTAGTTCATTATGCTAAAAGCATCTGTCTGTCACTGTTTAGTTCTGCAATAATGTAATACATTCGAGAGAACCCCCTGACCACTCTGGAATCACAAGGTCATTATGACTTAGAGAGCACTTCAGAGCCAAAAGTTAAATGAGATTTAGAGATGCCACTGGCCTTTTGGAGTTACACAAGAAATGCTAAATTACCAGCAACCACCAGAAGCTAGGTAAGAGGCAAGGAGAGATTCTCCCTTAGATCCTTGAGGGTAGCATTGCCCTGCAGACATTTTCATTTTGGACTTCTAACCCCAGCACTGTGAGGGAATAAATTTGTGTTGTTTTAAGCTACCTAGTTGTGGTCTTTATTAAAGCAGACCCAGAGAAATAATACACCAAGGTCACAAGTTGGTGGACAGTAAAATTAATGTTATTCTAACCCAAGTCTAACTTTACAATTTATACATTACCCTATAAAAGAAACCAATGATAAAAAAAATAATGTTATTAAATATAAAATATACCCTGGTCAGAATGCTCAAATACATGCAAATATGGGCCTTTCCATCTAAGCAATTATACTTATTCTAATTTTTTAACAAAACTTGAAAAATAATTACAAGTCATATTCTGCTTTGAAGCTCAATCCAGGGTGCAGTAAAATTTTTTCTGGAAATGTGAATCACTACCCAGTTATATTGAAAAGCCATCTGGAGACTTTCAATTAGGATGGTGGCATAGATAAAAATGCCTTGCCTCCTCACACAACCACATCAAAATTATGACAAAAATATAGAACAAACATCAGAATCATCAGAAACTGAGTTGAATGGAAGTCTGACAACTATGAAATTAAAGAAACTACATCCACACAGACGGGTAGGAGGGGCGGAGACACAGAACAGACTGGTCCCACATTCATGTGTGGTGGATAACAATTCAGGCGGGATATCTCAGGAGTGAGAAGTCCCAGCCCCATACCAGGCCCCCCCTAGCCCAGGGTTCTGGTGATGGGAAGATAAGTCCCCATAACGTCTTCCTAAAAAGCCAATGGGGATTGAGTCAGTAGATGTAAATTCTTGAGTCCCTAGCAGTTTCTGTTAAAGAACCCACACACAGACTACAACAGACTCATTCCCTCCGAGCTCCAGCACTAGGGTAGCAGCTTGAAAAGCACCAGTGGCATACAGGGAGAAAATGAATTGCCTGGTAGAGGTCATTGTACCTATTCTGAGCCCTCCCACCAAAAAGCCACAGAGCCACAGGCTGGTGCCATACCTGAGACTCCATCAGCCTGGTTAACACTGTTTGCCCCACCCTGGAGGTCCCAAGACTCTGTCTTACCCAATTTACTGGCCCACCCAAGCTGCATTTCCATGTGAATGGCTGGTCTTGGCTCATGATTCACAACTTCCTAAATCCTCTCAAATAAGCAATAGTCAGCTTCAGTGAGCCCCAGACTCTGTACCTCTTGCTAAGTGGCCCAAGGCCCAGCACTAGTGACAACCAGCCTAGATTCACAGCTTGGCTTCCCCTGGGACTCTCCAAAACCCAGCACAAGTAGCAGCCAACTCAGATTGCTTTATAGCTCAGGCAGAGTAGCCCTGGGCAGAACACAGGTGGGTTGATCTTGGCCTGTTCTCCCCCAGGGAGACCCCAGAGCCTGCATGCCCAGTGGAAAACTATAGACCATATTGGAGTACCACCACCTGCTCCTGCACAGCTGTACCTCCATAGAGGTCAGAGGTTGGTGGACAATGGACACAACCAGTCCTTGTAGCTGACTGGTCTGGGTAAATCCCTCCCATTGATCTGCTAGCAGCAATCAAGGCTCAACTACAAAAGGAGAGTGTACTCATCCGACCGGGAGGATGAACCTCAAGTACTCAGCTTGGGTAATAGGGGAGGCTATGACCCTGGACCCTATAGGACTTCTGCTTCATTAGGCCATGCTACCAAGACAGGGAGTCATAGCAACTCTACCTAATACATAGAATCAAACACAGGGAGGCTGCCAAAACGAGGAGACAAAGACACATAGTGCAAATGAAAGAACAGATCAAAACCCTAGGGAAAAAAAAAACTAAACAAAATGGAGATAAGCAATCTATCAGATGCAGAACTCAAAACACTGGTTATAAGGATGCTCAAGGAACATAGTGAGGACCTCAGCAGCATAAAAAAGATCCAGTCAGAAATGAAGGATACACTAATTGAAATAAAGAACAATTTACAGGGAAACAACAGTAGAGTGGTTGAAGCTGAAAATCAAATCAATGATTTGGAACATAATGAAGCAAAAAACAAATCAGAACAAGAAAAAGAAAAAAAGAATCAAAAACAGTGAGGATAGTATAAGCAGCCCCTGGGACAACTTCAAGTATTCCAACATTTGCATCATAGGAGTGCCAGAAAGAGAAGAGAAAGAGCAAGAAACTGGTAATCTATTTGAAAAAAATCATGAAAGAAAACTTCCCTAGTTTGGCGAAGAAAATAGATATGCAAGTTCAGGAAGCACAGAGAGTCTCAAACAAGATGGATGCAAAAAGGTCCACTCCAAGACACATCATAATTAAAATGCCAAACGTTAAAGATAAAGAGAGAATCTTAAAAACAGCAAGAGAAGAGCAGTTAGTTACCTACAGGGAAGTTGCCATAAGACTGTCAGTGGATATCTCTAAAGAAACTTTGCAGGCTAGAAGGGATTGGCAAGAAATATTCAGAGTCATGAAAAGTGAGGACCTATGGCCAAGAATGCTCTACCCAACAAAGCTATCATTTAGAATTGAAGGGTAGATAAAGAGCTTCCCATACAAGGAAAAACTAAAGGAGTTCATCATCACCAAACCATTATTATATGAAATGTTAAAGGGGCTATTTAGAAAGAGGAGATTGAAACAGTGACTAATCAAATGGCAATAAATACAAATCTATCAACAATTGAATTTAAAAACAAACTAAGCAAACAAGGAGAACAGAGACAGAATCATGGATACAGATAGCGTTTCAATGGATGCCAGATGGGAAGGGGTGTCAGGAAGGGGTGAAGAGTTAAGGGGATTAAGAAGTACAAATAGGCAGTTACAGAATAGTCATGGGGATGTAAAGTACAGTATAGGAAATGCAGTAGCCAAAGAACCTACGCATGACCCATGGACATGACCAAAGGTGTGGGGACTGCCTGTGGGTGTGGGGGGTGCTGGGTGGAGGGTGACGAAAGGGGAATAATAAAGACAACTGTAATAACATAATCAATAAAATATAATTAAAAGGAAAAAGAAAAAAGAATAAAAGCCATCTGTTAGCCACTGTTTATTTCTACTACAACATAAGACATTGGAGAAAAACTCATACTTTCCTATAATCCAGACTTAGCACAAAGAGGCAGCAAGAGATATGTGTCAAATGGGACAAGGCAGTTCACAAATAAAACCTGCAAGGAAATAAAGGAAACACAGAAAATGATGAAAAGAGTTTTTATTTCATAGGCGGTAGGCAGATTGCAACTTGAAATTTTTTAAATTAATTTTTATATCTATAACAAATCCAAATAGAGCAAATTGCACAAGTCCAGAGAAAATATCTACCATAGTTCTATTAAGCATACACAGCATTGCTCTGGTAAGAGGGGCAAGTGAAAACAACCATCAGGAATGCTAGGGGAAGAACAAGTCATAAACAAATAAAAAAGCAAGACAAGTAAATAATCTCAACTTCCTATTTTCTTCTAACCATTTAGTAGTAAATTTTCTTTAGTCACTCTCTGTGGCATGTGGCATGTGTAAGTACAAGTCTCTGTCTGAACTGACTCATTTCATTATCTTAATTTGAAATCTCTCATCTGGAATTGTAAATTAGCAGCAAACACTTTTATATGTTCTTAATGGTATGTATGTCTAAATAGGTAAAATCAGGTTAAAATATGATTCATTTAATTGCGTCCCAAAATCTTTGTTGGAATTGTAGAGTCTAAAGTAGCAGTGACATTTACAAAGTGATGACTTTTACAGGAGAAAGGAAGTGAGCAGATTCCTGAGAGGCAGAGGAGATACAATTTAATTTCCTTCATACATTAAAAGTAAATTGACTTAGTTAGGCTTTTAGAATTTTAAAGTAGAATTTTATCTAACAAAACATTTCAGTAATAGTGGGAATAAATGTGGGTGAAAATAGTGAAAATTGAAATTAAAAAGTGAACATCATGTAGGGGATAAAAAAATCATTATTTAGTTATCATTGTCAATCTTTTGTAATAAGAAGAAAAGTTTTAGTGTTATTTGGAAAGTAAATTCTGAACATTAATTCCTGACCACCCCCCCCCCAAAGATAGTATTTGTTTAAATACTTTAAGGAAAACTGGCTGTGTTTCATGAAGATTTACTCTTGAATAAAGTGTCCTACCATTGAAATCTGTAGAACTGTAATATAAGCACCTTCAAAGAATGATGTATTTCATTCAGATATATCCTACTGGAGTCATCCTTTGGCTGAATATGCCTGGCAAACTCACTGTAGGGGCTAGAGAGATATCTGGTCACACAATTGAGCTCTGCCCATGGGATCCACTATACATGCAGGTCTTAAAGGTAAACTACCATAAAGTGTGATAGCTAAAAATTCTATGATATTTAATGAAGTCTACATTACAGGAGAAGGCTTAATCTCTCTTTTCAAAGCAACATGGTCTTCTAAGAAATACAAATTGTTTCTTGCACTGTAAGGCACTGCGTTGGGGGAGGCAGGTAGCAAGCACAAAATCAGGTCTCTCCTTATAAACATTTAGCACTTTTTGTACAAATTAATTTCTTGTTTTTACATCATCATTATATATCTAATTCAAATTTCTGAGACTATAAATTCAGTGAGTTATTCATATTGTATTAAAAATCCTTGTAGCTCTTAATACATTGGCAAACTTTCCAACTTTAAACTTTTACGCATTAATAAAATATGATATTCAACTACAAATGGTCAACTTGAGTTTTCCATTATTGCAAGGCAGAATCCAGTGTGAAATTACAGCTCTCACCACATGCTTATAACTACCATCCTACTACTTAGAGCAACTCTATAGGTGTTTCATGGAATGCATGGGCAGGCTATGGTTTCCTAAGAAAGCTGACACATAAGTAAGCAATGTCCCAAAGAAATTCCTATCATGATGTAGATACTAATACTTTACATCAGGCCAGAAACTCATTTCATCATAAATAATGCATCAACTATTTTTACAAATATTGGTTTATTAAGAATCATCATAAAACTGTAGGAAGTACACAGAAGCACATCTTTCAATTGTGATTATATATTCTTTTTTTTTTTTTTTTTTAAAAGAGTAAGGATTTATTTTATATAATCAAGATAATATAATGATTACATTTAAGAAAGTTAACATTAATTGTATAATGCCATTTAATATGCTGTTCATATTTGAGTTGCCTCAATTGTTCCAAAAAAAGTCTCATAGCTGGGCTTTTTGTTTCCTTAATCTGTGTTCTAACCAGGATTTGTACATTGCATTTGGTTATTCTTTTTTTTTTTTTTTTAATTTTTTATTTTTATTTATTTATTTTTTTTTAAATTAATTTATTTACTTTTTAAATACATTTGTCTCTGCCTTCCCCCCCCTCTTTCCCTTGCCCCCTCCCACCTTCCCTCCCTCAGCTCTTCCCCTTTGGTTTTGTCCATGAGTCCTTGCTATATGTTCCTTGACTTTCCCCTTCCCTTCCCTTTCCCTGCACCCCCTTCCCTCTTGTCTCTGTTGATTTCTTTTCCTTTCAGTGTTGCTGGTCATTCTTCCTTGAAACAATTTTACTAACTGCCCTGAATATACGCACACAAGTTTATAAGTGGGCTTATGTCTTTTCCCTTTCAGCTGTCCTCACATCCTTTTGGAAACAGATAGGCAAAAGTGTATAAGAAAACAAAAAGTAGAACACTTCATTTGATATTATTTCCAGCACATCTACTGCCAATGAAGAATTATTACTCAAAAGGGACCAGTAAAGCAGGCAACAATAATCAGAGTTGAAATATTGGGAGAAAGGAGTAGGTTTAATCTAAGACTATCTAATTTTCGATAAACACTGGAAATTTACAGGGAAATTTGAAATGCTACTTGACACATTTTCTAAACTAAATTATGCAGATATAAAACTTCTTTGCAAGCATTATGAGAGAAAGGAATACTAATTTTATAAACATTTTAATTTTTTCTAGTTATCTGTGTATTAAAAACCTGATGTCTTAATATTTGCAACTTTTACTTTACTATCTTTGCATAACTGGAATGCATATATTTTTCATAGTTATATCATAAGGGGATTGACAGACCCAGAGACAACTGGACTAGACTGTACAGCAGGGTCTTACATCAGAGACCAGGCTTTGAGTCTTCTCTGGAACCTACTAGGTTGTGTCGTCTTAGTCACCTAGGTGAGTTTCTTTCCCTCTCACTCTCCAAAAGAGAGCTCTGCATCTCCCTCTCGGAATCCCTGGGAGTAACATAGTCAGCCTTGAGCAAATGGCAATTGTTGATTTTTTGTTAAGGACAAATAACAGTAAAAATAACATTTGCACAGTGGCTTCGCTTTTTCCTTTGGCTTGTTCTTGGAGACAGAATTATTAGACGCCTGTCATGACTGAAACTTCACTTATCACCATGGACATAATCTGGCTGTAAAACCTTTTTAAACTGGTTCTATAATATTTCTGAAAAGTAAAAATTTGCTAATACATGTCAAAGTATTCAAGGTCCTATTCTAAACATACTCCTTACTAGTCTTTTCTTATAGCTAACACCCAATATGTTTGCAGCAGCAAAATCCAAATGAGATACTTTATCAAAAGCCTCAGATGACTGTGTAATAATAGCAATTATTTCAATTCACTGAGGATCTAGTTAGCACATACCAGGCACTTGGCTGGCCACTTTACAAAAGCTATGTCATTTAACTTTCAGAATTACACTGTGAAGTAGATGGTATTATCACCATGTTACAACTAAGCAAAGTGGGCCCAGGGCAGCTAGCTGATTTTATCTTCTATCACATAGCTAAGAAATCACAGACCATAAATGAAACCCAAGTCTGTCTGACTAATCTCTGTCTAAATCAACTGACTTGTCTTTCCACCTCCATATACTTACTTTCCCTGGGGATATAATGATCTAACTGTACATCTCTATCAGAAATATCCAATGAGAATCTAAAACCCCTGAAATTTATTCCAAAAACTACATGTATATGTTGTTCACTGATTAGACTCAAGGTGTCAAGAATACAGTATTTCAGGGTAAGAGCTTCAATTACAGAAAGGTGACCTAAGCTATGTCTTACTAAAAAAAAAAATCTAGTAATAAATCAAAATAGAATTGTCCCCTCTTTGAAAAACATATATAATTTATGTATTTCGGAGGTATGCTAAAAAAGAAGGGTTAGTAAGATTTAAGGTTGATTTCGCCTGCTACCTACTTACTAAGCGAAGCAACTAAATGGCTCTGGCTTAAAACTGCCCTGGTCGGTGGCTCAGTTGGTTGGAGCATTGTTCTGTAAACTGAAAGGGCTGTGGGTTGTGGGTTTGATAACCGGTTAGGGCACATATCTACACTGTGGGTTCGATCTCCAGTTGGGGAGCATACAGGAGGCAACCAATCGATGTTTCCTCTCTCACATTGCTGTCTCTCTCTCTCTCTCTCTCTCTCTCCAATCAACAAATATCCTCAAGTGAGGATTATAAAACAAAACAAAAAAATCTCCAGCATCTTAGTGGTATATATATATATATATATATATATATATATATATATATATATATATATATATAAATAAAAGACTGTTAGTGTTCAAAACAAAAACAAGGAAACACTGAAATTAGTTACTGGCAAGCAAAGGAAAAGCAGGCACAAGTAAAACCGTAAAGTTAATTGGTCTTAATTAAGCAACAACTCAGCCAACAGCAAAGTTTGAATACTCTGTTTTGAGAGTAACCAGGCCTATTTATGTTAAAAGGTCCTCAGGGAACTGGCTACGGGATGTTTCTCAGGTTGGCCTTAACATCATGGCTACATGATGAATTTTCAAGGATACTCTGGCCCTCTTAGTTTGCTTTTCTAAAGGGAATTTATAGCTCATCAATTCTTAGCACAATTTGAGGTTTAGATCTGCTCTAGAAACTGCAATCTAGATTAGAACAAGCAATACCATGGGAAGTGGAATACAACATATCCAAAGATGAACTGTGATAATTTTTTTCCTGCTGCATTCACATTATCACAGGGGGCATACACTTGCGCCTGCACAAGTGGTAACCACTGTTTCACCATGTTATCAAAATTGTGTGACTCATTTATTCTACTTATTGCTACAGTTCAGAGAATAAGTATCATTCTTTTCATACTTTGATTTTAGAATATTTTATAATGCAACCCATCTTCCTAGGTTCTTTGTTAATAATTAGGCATTCAACCAAAGACTTTTCTCCTTAGCTAAAGGTCAACATACGTATCCAAAGTCTAACTCCAAGGGGAGGGAAAAGAAGGTTAAAACTTACTGAAAGAAAGCTTTGTCTGGTATATTAACACAATGGAATACTACTCAGTCATAAAAAAGAAGGAAATCTTACTCTTTATGACAGCATGGATGGACCTGAAGAGCATTATGCTAAGTGAAATAAGCCCGTTAGAGGAAAGTCAAGTACATAACATTTCACTCATATGTTTAACCTAATGAACAATATAAACTAACAAACAAAATAGAAACAGACTCAAGGGTAGAGAACAAACTGTCACAAGGAAGGGTTTTGCAGGGTTGGGTGAAAAAGAGGAAGGGATTTAGCAAAACAAAAACAAAAACAAAAATAAAACAAACCTCATAGACACAGAAAACAGTATGGTGATTACCAGAGGGAAAGGGAGGTAGAAGAGGCTAAAGGGTGATAAAGGGTGACCGAAGGAGACTTGACTTTGGGTGGTGAACACAAAAATACAATATACAGATGATGTATTATAGAATTGTATACTGGAAACCTATATAATCTTATTAGCCAATGTCACCCCAATAAATTCCATTAAAATAAAACAAAAAAATTAAAACTGTGCTTGCCATTTGTTTGAAAAAAGAAAAAGAAATAAAGAAATGATGTACAGAAGGGGACAGGGGAAGAGAACAAAAGGGGCCTCGAGTCTACCAAGAAACGTCCCACTGGCTGCAAGGTGGGTGTCCAGCCTTGCTAGGCGAATCCTAACTTGCAGGCAGTGCAAAATAAGAGCAGACATGAGATAGCAATTCATGCACTTCCAATTAAAAATGTTTGTTCTGAGAATGTAGTCAACTTTGACAGTGTTACTTTTAGAGGCAGGTAGGTGGTATTTCACGAAGAAATCAAAATAACTTTCCTACTCATCAATTAGTTTTGCCAGATCTGATAAAATCTAGAAATGACCGAGTTCTAAGTTTGTGTGTTATTGCACTCAATGAAGCTATAATAAATAGCAGTAAAATTGTCCTCTTCCCAAAATAGTTAGAAGCAGAGATTTAATAAGTTTTCTCAAACTGTCTTGACATTCGCTAATTTACAACAGAATAAGTGATCAAAGTGGGAGAGTGGGTATTAAACCACCAGTAGTAGACTTGTGAAATTATCTTGTAGTATGCAAATTTCATCACACACCCAAAGTATTAGATGTGCATTGTTCTAACAAAAAGACCAAAAAAAGGGGAGGGGGTGGAGAGCAGGCAGGGCTGACATTCTGCAACAGAGGACATCCCATACTCTACCTGTGCCCACCAGGAGGGCCCTAGGCTCACAGCTGCGGATGCAGTGCAGGAGGGTGTTGGAGCGAATGTTGGAGTTGAGGAAGGCCACCGCGCAGCCCAGCTTGGCCAGATCGAACCACATGTGGACAAAGTCGGGCTCATTGTTCATCAGCAGAGCCACAACGTCCCCCCTTTTCAGTGTGGAATAGTTCAGGAAGACACAGGCTACTTTGTTGCTCCTTTTGTCCACGTCCTCATAGGTGAAGATGTCTCCCTCGTAGATGATTAAAGTTTTCCGGGGTTGCTTCTTGGCATGGCTCAGAAATTTATCCAGGACAGTGACCAGCCACCCTTTCTGGCTGTACAGCTTCAGCCGAATTCCACAGTATACTACCTTCAGCAAGTACCAGAAGTCGTTCCAGAAGTAAGGGAACAGGAGTTTCTGCACGAAGTGCAGTAAGACTGCTCCAGCCCCAAGTCCTGATATCCATGGCAGGATCATGGGAGCCACAGGACCAGAAGACCCTTCTGATCCCAGCCCTGCCAAGTGAGTGTTCTTCTCCAGGTCAGCTCTCAGGGCTCAGTACTGGCACCTGCAGTTTGTACCAGCCTTTGGGGGTGGAGTGGTGTGGAGTTGGAGGGGGGCGGGAGGGGGAGGGAAGGGGGGCGGGGGGAGGGGGGGGAGAGAGAGAGAGAAACTTGTGAAACAGAATTAGGAGTTTTCGAAGAGAAGCTTGCAGCACAGGAGAGGCTGCCAAGAATAAGACTTGAGATGCCTGGTTTCTGGGAAGAGAGAGAGGGATTCTGGAGAAATCAACACAGGCAGCCACAGAGGCCTCGGAGCAAAGCCTTGGCTCGGTGGCAGTTTCGCTGCACCTTCCAGCCCCCTCCTCTGGCGGGCTGGGTCAGTCCCCAGCGTCTTGGCGGCCCTGAGCAAGCCCCACCACCTCAGCAAAGTAAGTTCAGGACAGAGGCTCTCCTCGGAGTAGTTTTTCCAGCGGCTGCGACTTGGAGGCCGAAACGGAACAGGCAGAAACTGGTGTGCGGACGGCTGAGAAATCAGAGCCCTTTGCGTTGACGCGCCAGAATCAGCGGAAGGTTTTGGGGCCACGCCACCGCCTCGTGTGCGCCCCCTGCCCGTGGGATCCCAGCGCCAGAAGCCGTTGCTGAGCTCCAGGGTCCCTTCAGATGCACTAGGTCCCGCCTATGTATTCCCAGGTGACCAAGGCGCCTGCTGGAAGGAGTAGCCTCCTATCCTGGCTCCACCGGCCGCCCTGCCAAGCGACCTTGGCTCTGGTTTATCTCTTCTCTTTACTGTGGTGGGACTGTCAAAAGCCTACTTCCCGCCTTCCGGTGCCAGGCCAACCTCAGCTCAGAGCTCCCTCGCCGAACAGCTCGGACTGGCACCTCCCTCAACGTTCATCCTGCCACTGGGCTCAGACCTCTGGGGGGAATGGGACAGTCCCATAGAAGGAAAGCCAGAGGACGTGGGAAAGGGTTCAGGAGAACCAGGCTGCTGAAATTGGGTCAGGGTTGTTCGTTTAATTAAATAAAGAATTAAGGGATCTAAACTAGAGTCTGGAGAGGAGAGGGGGACAGTTACAGAAAACAAAACTGCAGAGAGAAAGGGGGACATGAATTGGACAGCAAGAAATGTTTGAATTCTTGAATCCTTTGTTCATAAAACACCGTAAAATTGGTTTGTTCTACAAGAAAGTATAAAATACTGACTATGCTTTGTCCTTAAAAATTAAAAAAAAATTATTTCCTTTTTTGCAATTAGATCATGTAAAATATTATCACACTTCAAACTAAGGATTCTAACTGAGAAAGAAGGAAGTGGAAAGGGAAGAGGTAATTGTGAAGAATAACAATAAAATTGTATACAACGATGAAATTTTACTGAAGATAAAAACTCCGGGGTATTTAATTACACATTTTCTTTTCCTTGCAGACACTCATCTCAGCTCTGTTTTTAAGATGTGAGTATAAAAGAGAAATTATACATATTGAAATGATTAAGCATTGCCTCACATTTTGAGGATTCTGCCCCTATGTTTTGCAACTGGGTTCTAGCTAACTCCAAAACTGATAACTCCAAAGACAGATGTCTGAAATGATTATTTGTAGTCACAATGAAGAGTCCAGAAGTAAGACAGACTCCAAATCCTTTTGTGTAGATGAAGAAAACACTTTCTAAATTTACTCAGAAGTTCTGTGGTTTTTTCATTTCAGAAACATCTTTTCAGTTAAAAGAAAAGTATCAGTATCAAGTATTTTACAACTGGGAAAACCAGTTTACAACTTGAAAAGCATCTTTGAAGTTCTCTCCTTTTTACTCCTAGCTCTAGACTTGGGGTAGGCAGTTAGACAGGAGCACAGAGAGGGTGAGTGGGGAGGTACAGAAGTGCATCAGGGCGGAAAGCCCCAGGGGGCCTAGCGACGGGGAAAACTCAGAAAACAAGGACCTCTCCCTCAGGGTAACCTTGCCTCCTCTAGCGTATTGTTGATCATGGGGTCTGGACCCTCCCCTGACCTTTCCTCCCCTGGTAGATCACTTGTCATATGGTAGCGCTCCCCACACCCCTTGCCCAGAGGGGGAATAAACATGGCAGCCGGAGAAGAGCCCTGAAGTATTAAGTCCCAGGACAATGAGGTTCTGACCAACATCAAATACATCTAGGCCTGAGCTGTGTTTCCGCTCCAGGCCCAGTAAAACAGCAAAACTGGACAAGGGAAGCCCTGCTGACCTCTGGACCAGCAACATTGATTAATGATGCCCGCCCCTGCCCCAACCAAAAGGACACAACTGTAAGACTGGTGCATATTCTATTAAGATCCTCCCCCTGGGACTGTCCCCGAAATCCCCACTCTTAAAAGCCCTTAGGATGGAGGACCTAGTGCCTCTCCATGCCGGTGAGGCGGGGCAGGAGGGAGCATGCCCCAGCCTCTCCCTTGCCCTCCCCTCCCACCAGTGCTATCTTTACATTCTTCTCTCTTCAGCCCCAAGGACCCTTCTTTTGCCTTTGGTAACGTGGTTCCTGAATCCATTTTGAATTCATTTCTTTTATGGCTTACTTCTACCTTTGCGACTTCCTAAATAAACTTTGTAGTTTGAGTCTTGGTTCTGAATTCTTTCCTAGTCAGATCTCAAGTATTAAGGTTGCTGACCCAAGGGCTGGTGTGACCCCACCCATCTAATACCTGGTGCTGTTTTCACCATCAACAGTCTGATTCAATCTTCTCCCAGAAAACATATGAAGCAGAGAACAGACTATGGAGCAGCTGGTCTCAGACTTTTGGCTTTCCAATACAAGTAAAATCTGTCCTCCTTTAGTGGAAGGAAATGAGTAAAGAAACATGATTTCCATCTTTTTATTTTGTTAAATTAGAAACATTATGCACACATTAAAGCAATTACCATCTACTGTCACAATTGTTTCATAAAGGGAGGATGTATTTCAACATTGAAAAGAAGAAAGGGAATACCATTATAATAAAGGGACATATTTCAAAATAAATAAAATTAACTTTGCCCCGGCTGGTGTGGCTAAGTGGATTAAGCACCAGCCAGAGAACCAAAAAGATGCTGGTTTGATTCCCAATCAGAGCAAATGCCTGGGCTGTGCGCCAGGTCCCCCATTGAGGGAGAGTGAGAGGCAACTGATCAATGTTTCTCTTACACAGTGATGTTTCTCTTCCTCTCTTTCTCCCTCCCTTCCCCACCAAAAGTAAATAAATAAAATCTTTTAAAAAATAAAATTAAATTAAGTGCATGAAAAATGTATTGTGTTGCTTACTTTTCTTATCATGTGAGGACTTGCTTATACCACCCCAAGGTTTGGAACTAAATTTTCAGCAACAACTAATGTGAGTCAAGAATATATTTGGCACCATAAATGTGAGACAAACTGACTTATTGGGAGAACTACAGGCATATGCTGCCAAAACTTATATAGAGACCAATACCAATTTTTTTCCTGAAATCTTACAATGAAAGAAGAAGTCAATGAAAATCTTGGTATTGTGTGCATTGTGTGCATTTCCATCAATTCATGTGGTTGTTTTTATTTTTTCCAGAAATTTTGTGTTATTTTCAAATTGTGCCAAAGACAGCTGTGCAAATAGATACAATTATTAAGTATAATTTTAATTATTGCAAAATGGGGGAAAGAATAAGCTAGTTGCAAATGAGTAAATTTATCATTTAACAGAAGAGTATTTCTGTTAAGAGACATGCAAGTAGCCTAGACATGTTTTTTTTAAGATTTATTTATTTAATTTTAGAGAAGGGAGGGAGAAAGAGAGGAAGGGAAACATCCATGTTCAGTTGCATCTCACTCGCCCCCTACTGGGGACCTGGCCTGCAGCCCAGGCATGTGCCCTACGCTGGGAATTGAACCTGAGGCACTTCGGTTCGCAGGCTGGCCCTCAGTCCACTGAGCCACACCAGCTGGGGCAACATTTGTTAACATTACATTTGATCATGGATAATGGTGTATTTCTTAAGTTCCCCTTTAGAACATACAGAAATTTTGTGTTTTTCTTTGAAAATAAGAAATTTTCTTTGAAAATACTCTTTGAAAATCAGTATTGTGACAATGCAAAAATAAAATTTTTCTTTTATTTTTGATCTAAATATGTTCTCATCTACCCTTTCCCCATTTCTCATTAGAGTTTTTTCTCTGACAGACTCCCAGTCCCCTCTGCACCCTGAGTTATACTGAGGATGAATTGTAGATCAAAATGAGACTGAACAAACAGCATATACGATGTATACTGATTAATCTTATGCTCATAGGATTTTACCATTGTATCTTGAGAATTCTGACTTTGTACAAACATATTACTTGTGTCTAGAAGGATTCTGATAAAATTCTAAGGCAGCCACATTCTGGATTATGAGAAAGGACTCAAATGGTGCTATGTAGGTACCAAAACCTGATGACAGGTATGTGCAATAGGCCAAGAAGCTCTGAATACCCAGACTGCAGCTGGCACTTGGGGAAGGGGATAGAGGGGGAGTGGATATGTGAGGAACTGGATAGCTCTAAAAATGAGGGTCAGATGCTGAGTATAAGATGCATCTTCTTTACTATTCTGTCCAGGAACAGAATCGTGTTCAGGTTTTAATCACTATTTTAGTCTCTGATTATAGCTTAGTTTCTGATAGGAAGTTTACTCTTCCTACAATCTGTTTGTATTAATGAACAATCATTTCCCAGAATATTATTCTTCACATGAAGCAAACTCAACATTAAAGATGAAAGCTGTTGTTAGAGGGCTGGGAGGCATTAACATTACTACATGTGTCACGCACATCAAACACTTCTTGAAATATACAAACTTTATAGCACCAAATAAGTGAACCTGTAATAACAGTCTCGAGAACAATTCTCAAACAAATTAAGTGTTTAAATATCATGTTTGCCACAGACTACAAACTATGTCCAGAAAGTTATGCCCATCAGGATCCTGTCAGGAAGACATTTTACACAAATA